GCTCTGCTTGCAGAGCGGAGAGCTGAAGGTGAAGATGCTCGGGGGCGTGGAGTTCCGGGTGCCCTTCCAGGGAGCCATGCTGGGGCAGGAGCTGAAGCAGCAGGTGGCCCTGGAGGCCGGCGTCCCCGCCTTCCAGCAGCGCCTGGTCCTGCAGGCCACCGGCGCCGCGCTGCGCGACGGGGAGCCCCTCGCCCGCCAGGGCCTGGGCCCCGACAGCACGGTGCTGCTGGCCGTGCAGCCGTGCGACACCCCGCTCAGCATCCTGGTGCGGACCAGCGGGGGCCGCAGCCGCGCCTACGAGGTCCTGCCCACGCAGACGGCCGCCCAGCTCAAGCAGGAGGTGTGCCGCCGGGAGGGCACAAGCGCCGACCAGTGCTGGCTGAGCTTCCAGGGGACGCCCATGGAGGACACGCAGCTGCTGGGGGACCTCGGCCTCACGCCCCAGTGCACCGTGCACTTGAACCTGCGCCTGCGGGGCGGGGCGCCCCACACCGCCCCAGCCCCTGACCTGCCTGTGTAATAAAAGCCGAGGCAGAGCCCAGAGGTGCCGGCCCTGGCTGGGGGGCGGGGCGTGGTCTGCTTCTGGGGCCAGCTAGGGGCCAGCCTGCTGGGCCTGGCCCGCAGAGACAGGGAAGGCAGCCTGCTTCTGGGAAGTGGACCCTGGGTGGGCCCTGGGGGAGACACACCCCGCCCCCCGGTGGCAGGGAGGCCAGGAGCAGCCTCCTGGGGCTCCCCTCGATGGCCAGGTGGTGGCCAGCACGTCAGGGCCGTCCACAGGGGTCATGGTGCTGGAGGACAGCTGGTGCCTGCAGGGGCACCGGTCTGGCAAGAGCCCCCTGGCTCACAAGGAGGCGCCCTGGGCTCCCCACGGGCCCTCGGGCCGCCGAGTCAGGCTTGCACAGGCAGACGGGCACCCAGGCCCGGGCCCAGCGTGCTGGGCACTTGGGCTCCAGGCACCTCCGGGATCTGGTTGCCCCCTTTCTGGTCTGTGGGGTACCTGGACTAGGGAAACCCAGGACTGTGATGTCTGTGACACATGTAGACAGGCAGCTGGGGGGGGG